CTGGCCAGGCTCCTCAGCCAGGCTGGCCCCAGCAAAGCGGGGAGAGGACCCACAGCCACTCCCTCCTTGCTGGGAGAGCAGGATCCCCTGCCCTTTATGGGGGGCCCAGGCCATAAATGCACCTTTACATCTCACCCATGAGGTCAGACGAGTCCACAAGGAAAACATGTGCTGTGAGTGAGAGGGGCCCACATAATGGCTTCATTCAGCAGGGCCGCAGGGCGCTGGTGCCCCCTCCTCAAATTACAGGCTGAGTTTCCTAAGGAGGCATTTCACGAGCCAGAGCGGCCGCAGCTCCCGGCCCCGTGCCATTCCTCAGCAGGGGAGGATGCGGGGAGCAGTCCCTCCTCGGCTGCCCGTGATCTGCTAAGCTGGTTCCCAGCAAAACTGCCACCATGTCCCGGGGTGGCAGAGGGGACGTGAACAGTGTCCCCCTGCTGTTCCCAGTATCCTGCCCCAGGTGCTGGGGATGGGGTGCCTGGGTGCTCCCCCTTGCACAGGGACTCCCCCCATCCCCGCTGGATGGAGGTGGGGGAGATGCTGCACCCAGCGCCGTAGGGCTCAGACTCGCTCCCTGTGCCAGCCGTGGGGTGCACAGGAGGCACTCGCTGGCGAGCAGAACAGGGTGTTTGGGGTGGGCAGGTGGTGGTCTCCATCCTCCCGTGGCAAACAGGGCCTGGAGGCAGCCTAGGAGCCAGACAAGGTGGGGAGGGGATGGTCCCTAGGAAGCTGAGATGATGTTTATATCGTTTTCCACCTCTCACCCTTCTGCAAACCCTTCTTCCCTCCCCACCCACATGCCTGGCACCCACCCCCGTCTTTACTGTGCTGCTCCCCTCGGCATGGAGGACACCCCATATATCACCATCCAAACCCACCTTGGTGGCCCCAAGAACCCAGGGCAGGTGCTGCAGGTCCTGCCTTGTGCTGGGGGCCGGGGGCAGCCAGGCTGGAGGTGGCTTGGGGAGGAGGTCCTGGTGTCCCTGCCCCGAGCTCGGTAAAGCTGCTGGTTGGACTTGTGGCCGTGTGGTTGTGCAAGTGCCAGGCTCTGCCGAGCACATCCAGGCATCCCTCGGGGATGCCTGCTGCAGGTTTTGGAGGACTCAAGAGGAGGATTCTGCTTCAGCCTCTCCTGCGACCTCCTGAGATCCAGCTAGCGGGTAGGAGAAAGGGGGCTATTTGGTGTTAAAGTTCTGTGTACTAAATGCAACTTGCTCCTAAATTTGAAGCTCTTTTATAATCAATTACAAGTTGGCGTGACCCTCTCCAAAGCTGCCATTTGGGATGCAGGCTGATGAGAGCCCTGCACACGTGGGCATTGCTTTGTCCCTGTCGTGCTCTCACTAATGCTCTCCTTTGGTAATCTTTGGTTTTAAACATTTTTCTTTTCTTTCTCTGCCTGAAGGGGTTCCGTCTGCATACGCCATCCTACCCTTGCCTGCACCAGGGGATCTCTCTTCGCCTGCACCCCGAGGCTGGTTTTGGGCCGGGGAGCTGCGGCTGGCATCAGCTGGGGGGCAGTGCCACTGGCTGGGACCTGGGGGTCCCAAGAGCCCTGTGTGCCACACAGAGGGAGCTGGGTGGCACTGAGTGATGGGAGACAAGGAGAAAGAAGGAGCTCAGTGCTGGGGTGATGCTCGGGAGGAACAGCAGGGTGGGGAGCAATGGGGATGGGCGTGTGGCTGGGGAAGGTGACGGCGATGCTCTGGGCTTTGGGGACGCGCTGCGTGCCCACAGGGCTCTTCTGCAGCTCCGTCCGGTGGGCTGAGAGCAGGGAGGTCTCACCTGGGACCACGGGCAGCAGCTGCCACCCAAGTCCTGGGATCTCGCTCCTGCTTTTGGAGGTGTGAGCCTGTTCCTCGTTAATTAGGGGCAGCTGCGTTGGTCTGGACAAGAAGCCATCCCTCCTGCCTCAGGAGCCCTCTCTGTAGCTGTAGGTAAAGGGCACATGCTTTAGGGAGCAATGTGGGGTATTAATCTGCAAGAAAAATATTCTGCCTCCACAGAAACCCCTGGAGCATTTGCGAAGATCCTATGTCCCGCTGATGCTCGACGTGAGCAGGATGTGGCCATGTGCCAGGGGCGCTGGCATCGAGCACTCGTCCCTGCAGGTCACAGCTCCGGCTCTGCCCACATCCCCGCTCCTTTTCCTCCACATCAGCAAAGCTCCCAAGCCCCGGCCACACCTTGGAGGCAGCTTTTCTTTCTTCTTTTTCCCAGCATTTGTAGTGCTTTGAAGAAAAGAAAAAGAAATAGAAAATGTATTTGCACTGTGCATGTCTGCGGTGACATGTCCCTGTGGGTCAGGAGCAAGCTTTTAAACAGATCTCCCAGTTCTCCCAGTTGCAGTGGTCATGGGGCACATGGAGCAAGCTGTCTTTGGAGAAGCTGAGACCACGAGACGTGTTTTAGACCCACGCCCTGATGGGTGCCGGTCACCTCTGCAGCAGCACCGACCCTACCTGAGGCTGGCTGCGCTCAGGGACCAGTCCATGTGCTGCACTGGGAGCACCAGTTACCCCGTGCCGCATCCCAGCTGCCTCTCCTTGCAATGAGAGCAAGTTTATTTGCTGTCAAAGCTGCTGATAAATGAGGCGGGGGCTGAGTGGAGGGGTGCGGGACGCCATCGGCGGGCATGGTGAAGGAGAGATTAGCTATCTGTTAAAAGATAAGCACGAATCCTGCATCCAGAGAGGCAGTGGGTGGGCTGGGGTCCTGGCTGGTGGTGATCGTAGTCCCGCTTGCCTCCTCCGGCTTGCGGCAGGGGAAGGGTTTTTCCCTCCTGCTGCCGTGTTTCAGCGGCTCCCGGCTCCCTGCCATCGGCTCAGGGCTTTCATCATGGCTAATGCTTTTTGGTGCATCATCTGTGATGCCCGTTTTGATGGCCCGGCTGAGCTGTTCGAGGGAGGAGGTTTCCCAAGTGGAGGGGTTTCCCCTTGCAAACTTGCGATGGTTTCATCTAAAACCCACCAAACACTGAATTTCTAAAGGGTGAAGAGGTGAAAGCAACCCCAGGTGGGACAGCGGGTGCTTTGGCTGTGCCATGGGAGGGTCAGGGCACCGCGGACCGTTCCCCGCCTGTGCCCGAGCATCCCAGCGCAGCTGGCGAGGCTTTTCGGGAAGGGCAGCCTGAAGCCTGTTGCAGAGAAGAACCTTGTCTCCAGCCTACCCGGTCCTCAGGGAGGTGGTTTGGTGGTTGACCCCCCCTTGCCGTTAACACCATGCATCCCCTTGCATACTTGGCCAGAGCAGAACCCCCCACTCGAGCCCCGGGGTCCCCGCGCAGGGGGTACGGGCCAGCTGCCATTGCAGCGTCTCGCGACTGCTTCGACGGCCTGAATAGATGGAGCTATTTTGGGCTCCGGCTGCAAGGCATTTTTTCCAGGCCTTGAATCATTTTTGTGGTTCTTTTCTGCCTCCTTTCCAATTTTTCACCGTCCGCTGCAAAAAGAGGGACGTGATGCTCCCGGCTCGGCCATGCGGGTGCTGCCCGATCAGGGGCCAGCGGTGGGAGCTGTGTCCAGCCTCCCCGGTACCCGCGTTTGGCTGGGGGGCTGCTGACAGCTCCCTCCCCAGCCCCAGGACAAGTCGGTCTGGCAGCCAGACGTGGTCCTGTGACTGCGCTGGGTTTTGAGCGAATACTTCCTCGCTGTCTCCTCCTCCTCTTCTACATTTGTTACATATAAAGAGGAAAAGGGAAAAAAAAAAGAAAAAGAAAAACGCATTCCAGGCTGCGCCGCCGGACCAGCCCGGGTGAAGTTTTCCTCGACTGCAGCGTCCGCTCAGGCCGTTTATAACCTTCCAGCATCACTCCGGTTGCCATCGGGGACCAGGCAGTGCGGGTCACCCCGGGGATGAGCAGTGTTCCCCCGCCCAGGGGGTCCCTGCAGTGTCATGGCACGGGGAGCGTGTCCCCCACACCTGGGTTGGAGTATTGTGAGCCTCCAGCCATTCGCCTGGGGGGAGTCATTGAACAAGTGTGGGTGAGGTGTCCCTTCTTAGTCCCCACATGTCCCGTCCCTGCAGGGTGTCCCTGGCTGAGCCTCCACGGGGGTCTGAGACCCCCATCTTGGTGTTGCCCGGGGTCAAGCTTGTGCCAAAAACGCTTTGGATGATGATCCTGTGCACAGTGATTCCTGGAGCTGGTGGCACTCCAGGACACCCAAGAGCTCAGGGACCCATCCTGCAGTTGCCATTGCCCAGCTCGTACATGGGGGTGCAGGCAGGCAGAGGAGGGCAGTGGAGTGCAGGCAGGCAGCAGGGTCCAGACAGGCAGTGGAGAGCAGTGGGGTGCATGTGGGCAGCAGGGAGCATGGAGGCAGCAGGGTATATACAGACAGAGGAGGGCAGGGAAGTGCAGGCAGGCAGTGGGGTGCATGCAGGCAGCAGCGTGCAGGCAGGCAGAAGAGGGCAGCAGGGTGCAGGCAGGCAGAGAAGAGGTGCGCATACTCCGGTCCCCGCTCACTGCAGCACCCTCCTGAGCGGGGAGGTCCAGCGCCAAGGGGAGACAAGGTGGGCGTCTGGCTGCAGGCACCGATCCCGTCCCGGGAGCAGGCTGCTTTGCCGGACCCTTGGGTGCAGAGCAGTTGGTTTTCCCCTGGGACGTTTAGAGTCTTCCCTGTTTTCCCAGTTTGTAGGAGTCTTTGGGATTTTTTTGTTTTTAACAATAACGGTTGCAAATGTGACTTTTGTTGTTTCATTGGTCTTGATTAACGGAAGGAACTTGTCCTGTCCTCACTCCCGGCATTGCTTTGGCTGGCTCGTGCGGCATCTCAAGCCGGTGCCATGGGAGCCCCCCATGCTCGGTGGGGGTGAGCTCTCCTTGCCCCATGGGGGTGCAGCAGCCCCCTGCCAGGGTTCAACTAACTGGGAGCAGGACCTCTCACCATCACGGCGTCAGTGCTCCTGGTGGGTTTTTGGGAAGGACCAGGGCGTTCTGAAGGTCATAACCATTTGTGGTGTTTTTTTCCTCCTGCAGCTCCTCAGTGCTCGTGTGCTGCCCAGGATGGAGGCAACAAGGAAGCGAGTGTTTAATAGGTAAGCGCTGGCCTTTTGCTTCGTTGGACACTGCTCATCTGCCTATCCTTTGCTGAGCCCTCCTGGCCTCACCAGCGCTGTCAGGGACCATCCTGATGTGCCCCACAGCGGGGACCCCCTGTCCCGGGGACCTCTGCCTGCAGCCAAGCTCCCTGGGGATGTTGGAGGCTGTCCTGCTTCCCTGCAGTGCTCAATGCCAGCAGTGTGTGGATGGAATGGGTGCTCAGCCCCAGTGTTGGGGTGCTGGTCAGAGAGCCCAGCCCTGGGGTACCCCCTGCCCCCACAGTGATGGTCTGGGGTGCCCCAGCCCCCAGTGGGCTCCTCTGGGAAGCATCACCCCCACTCCCAGGCTGGGGGGTTTCTCTCCATACCAGCCAGCTTTGGATCTAAGGATTTGGGGGTGCTGCTCTGGAACCTAAGGGACAGCGAGGTGTCCCCCAGGGTGAAGCGTGGGGACAGGGAAGGTGCAGCTGCAGGGATGAGACCCAGAGAGTTCCCATGGGTGCTGCAGCAACATGGGGAGCCAAGCCAGAGCCGCCGGCGGTGGAGCAGCCGCCAGGACCAGGCACGTGTCCATCATAGCCCCACTGGGGAGAGGCTGCCGGGGCAGGCAGGCTGTCAGGCAGGGCCCACCAAGCCTGCAGGCAGGACAGCCCCAGCTGGGGCCACGCCAGGCGTTACAGCTCTTACCAGGGGCCACGGCAAGCCCGGCATGGGTGCTCAGCATGAAGCCCCTGGAGCTCTCATCCCCTGCACTGCCACCATGATGCAGGTGGCTGTTTGGGGGTTTCTGTGCTACTCCCCACAGTCTCAGCTGGCCACAGGGCTCACCTTGCCCCAGGAGAGCTGGAGGAGCTCTGCACACCAGCCCAGGGTGCCAACAGTTTGCAGCTGGCGGCAAAGACCACGTAACCAACTAACCCACCGTGCATGAGCCCTTGTAACCGCTCGCTGCATGCGTTGGGTGCCCGCGCACCGGGAACAGGATGCGGTCCCTTCGGCGTGCCAGCAGGAAGGGAGAAGGACAGGGTCTGCCAGGACAGCAGGGGGGAGGACAGTCCCACCAGCGAGCTGTCCCCATCTCATCCCTGCCCCAACTTGCTCTAACCATTAGACTCACTGCTCCTAACCTGTGTAATCTGTCTATTTTAGGGGTTTCTATAGTATCCATCACCGTAGGTCTAAGAACTCCCAGGTAAGGTGGATGGGATGGGTGGTCTGCTCTCCCTCTCCCGGTGGCTAAGGAGGCTTGTCCAGGGCCATGCAGGGTCTGCCTGCGCCTGCCTGCACTGCGGTGCTGCCTGTCGCACGTTCTGCGCCTGCCCCGTTCTGGGAATTGGCCCCAGCGCAAGGTCCCCTCGGCAGGAGTGGGGCTGGTGGCCTTTGGGGACTGGTGGCCTGCACGGGAGAGGCGGTTGTGGGGGTGGCAGTTATACTGCTGCGGTCTGTAAGGAGTGCAGGGAGGGGGACAGGGGGATCGTGCTAGTGGCTGCCGGCAACCCCCCCACCCCATGTACCCGTTTTCCCCTGGTGCCTGCAGGCAGCCCCTGCACAGAACTGCCTCTGCAGGCAATACGGAGCTGAGCGAGGGATGCTGCCACTGGGTGCAGCCGGTGGCAGGGACAAGCCTGGGCTGGGTGGCAGGAGGCTGGTGGCAGTGATGCTGTTGAGCTGGGTGGCAGGAGGCTAGTGGCCAGGATGGAGCTGGGCTGGGTGGCAGGATGCTGATGGACAAGGACAGGGCTGAGCTGGGAGGCAGAGATGGAGCTGAACAGGGTGACAGGAGGCTGGTGGCATTTTTCTGGCGAGGGTCCGGTTCAGCCTGCCCGGGTGCTTGCCAGGACAGACACAGTGCCACAGCTCAGCAGCACCCGGACTGCCACCGCGCACCCTTTCCCCTGCTCTGCGGGACTAGGGGGGGGCTTGAGGGAGCAGAGACGAGCCCCGTGGCATTTGTGCTCATGCCTGCTGTCTGTCCGTCTGTCCAGCCGTGTGCGAGGGGAACTTCACCTGCAAGGAGAACGAGGTGTGCGTCAGGCCCAGCGAGTGCCGCTGCCGCCACGGCTACTTCGGCGCCAACTGCGACACCAGTGAGTACCGGCAGGCGCCTGTATGTCCTCAGTGGGCTTTGCTGGGGTGGCTCTGGGGTGCTGGCTTATCCAAGGGTGACTTTCCAGAGCAGAGCATCAGAGATGGGGCTGCACATGCTCTTGGTCTACCCTTGCCTGTCCCCCTGGCTTTGTCCCCAGGGCATTGTCCCTTTGGAGGGTTCTCCTCTGAGATCCAGTGTGCTGGGAGGGGGGGGGGGTACTGCGGTCGAGAGGTCCTGTTGGGGCCAGGGGTCTCCACCAGTGCCCAGTGGTGGGGTTGTCCCATGGGCAGTGCCAGGGCTGACAGCTCTGCCCTCAGAGTGTCCCCGGCAGTTCTGGGGTCCCGACTGCAAGGAGATGTGCAGCTGCCACCCCAACGGGCAATGCGAGGATGTGACAGGCCAGTGCACCTGCAACCCCAACCGCTGGGGTCCCAAATGCGAGAACGTCTGCCTCTGCAAGCACGGCAAGTGTGACCAGAAGACGGGCAAATGTACATGTGAGCCCAACTGGTGGGGACCCCAATGCTCCAGCTCCTGCTATTGCAGCCACAACTCCCAGTGTGACCAGCAGACGGGCAACTGCCTGTGCCAGCCAGGCTGGTGGGGCCGCGGTTGCAACAACCAGTGCTCCTGCAACAACTCACCCTGTGAGCAGTTCACGGGGCGCTGCCAGTGCCGGGAGCGGACGTTCGGGCCCCGCTGTGACCGTTACTGCCAGTGCTACAAGGGCAGGTGCAACCAGGTGGATGGGACCTGCACGTGCGAGCCGGGCTACCGAGGGAAGTATTGCCGCGAGCCGTGCCCAGCTGGCTTCTACGGCCAAGGCTGCAGGAGGCGGTGAGTGGCCAGACCCCATTAGGCCTGATCTGGCACAGTGGGCTTGGTGGGAGGTGGCAGGGAGGTTTCGGGGATGCTGCACCAGGTGACAGACTCCTCCTTGGCCATTGCAGGTGCGGGCAGTGCAAGAGCCTGCAGCCGTGCACCGTGGCGGACGGGCGCTGCCTGACCTGCGAGGCGGGCTGGAACGGCACCAAGTGCGACCAGCCCTGCTCACCCGGCTTCTACGGAGAGGGCTGTGAGAAGCTCTGTCCCCCCTGCAAGGACGGCCACACCTGCAACCACATCAACGGCAAGTGCTCCCACTGCAACCCGGGCTGGATCGGAGATCGGTGAGTGTGGGTGGGTGCAGGTTTGGGCCCCGGTGGGGTGATGCCCAGCCTCACTGCTGCTTCCTGTCTGGGGACCAGGGGTGGCTGTGGGTTTCTGCAGCCAGGAGGGGAGGGCACGGATGGGCTGAGCCTGCTGGCATGGCCATGGGACAAGAGAGAGCCTGTGAGACCCCAGCTCCATGCCCCCAGGTAATGTTGGGTGCTCGCGGTAGGGCTCAGCTGTGAAGCTGGGATGCTTTCCCACAGGCTCTTGTGCCCAGGATTGGGTCTGGGGCTTTGCAGCACCTGAGTGGGGCTGACAATGCACAGCCCCATCTCCCTGCCTGCAGGCAGGAGGGATGCTAGAGGTCCCCGGGAGCTGGGGGTGCTCCAGCCGCCTGCCCTCATCCCTCCCCAGGTGTGAAACCAAGTGCCGAAACGGGACGTATGGGGAGAACTGTGCCTTCGTCTGCAGTGACTGCGTCAACGGCCAGTGCCACTTCGAGACCGGCCAGTGCCTCTGCCACCCAGGCTCCCATGGCACCTAGTAAGTGAGCCACACTTTGGGGTGCATCCCAGGGCATGGGTGATGCTTGGGCACCTCCTGCCCCCTTGGGTCCTACGCGGTTCCCAGCCAAGAGGTTTCCTGAGGTGGAAGTGCTCATGGGCAATAATTCAGATGATTTTTGGAGCAGAGGGGAAAGGACGTGCTCGTGGAGCTGTTAGCAGCAAGGTAATGCTGCGAGAGAGGGATTTTGCTTAGGAAACGGCATTTGGGAAAAACAAATGCTGTCGACAAAACAGTGGTTTGGTTTTTGTTTCTTTTTTTTTAAGTCCGGGGTGGAATTTCTAGCCAAAAAGAGAGAGAAAACCACATCCCAGAATAGCAAATAGCCTCACGGGCATGGCATCTGCGGAGTGCTCCTGCTGTGAGCTGTGGCTTCAGCCGGGGTCTTCCTCATCCCTGGGAAGAGCTGGGTCCTTGCCCTTTCCCCTGCCCAAGGAAGGGGCACAAGGGACATTGGAGTCCTGCATACATCCCCTGCGTACATCCCCTGGTGTTTTTTTCCAGCGTGGGACTGAAGTGCTGTTTGAAAAGGCGAGGAAAGCATTTCCCACCCAGCCAGGGCATGCATACCAGCTCCCCCAGGTCCTGCCAGGTGTTGCTTGGATTTTCCTGGGAATTAACTGTGAGGCTGGCAGCAGGGATTTGGGACCAGCATCCTGCCCGTGCTGGCATTTCTCTCGGGACTTAGAAACAGGGAGCGTTTGGATTTTGGGTGGGGTTTTTTGGGGCTTTGCCGACCAGTTGTGCTGCCAGCAGAGCTGCAGAGTCGAGAAGGGAGGCAGCCCGGCTGGGCACCAGTGCCAGCTCAGGATGCCTGTCCTGGGCATCGTTGCCACCTTTGGTAGCAAAGCCAGAGGTAAGATGGTCCTGGTGCTCACTGGGGGTGTGTGGCAGCGATTTCAGCACAGCGCTGGAGGGCAGCACGTGAATTAAATTGTTCTGAGGCCCTGGCGCAGTACTGGGGATGTGGGAACCAGTGATGCTCGGGATGTGGGAACCGCTGATGCTCTGGATGCAGCCCCAGCCCCAGCAGCATCCTGGAGCTGTAACCACGGGCTGAGCTGTGCCATACGGGTGCACACCGGGCAGGCTTGGGGACTTGGTGCTCAGGCAGATCCCTGTGACTATGTGCAAACTAGTGTTTTTGTCAGCAGTGTATAATTTTGCTAAAAAGGGAACGATTTCTGGAAGGAAGGCAGAAGGGATGTCCTCACCCTGCAGGGCTGTCCTCTCAGCTCTACGCCAGGAGGATGCTAAAGGAAAGGCTGCTAAACCTCTTTGTGCACACTACGAATATTTTATCCCCTCTGCAGCGTTCCCAGAGGTGTCTGGACCCTCTTGAGAAAAAATTGCCCCCCTCTCCTCTCTCTCTTCAGCCTGGGGCAGAAATGTGGGTCCAAGTGGCGGGGTGAGGGGTTTTGGATTGCCAGGGAAATATCCCAGCTCCCATCCTGCAGCATTTGCTGCCCCAGCACAGCTGCTCAGAGCGGCCGCAGGGGCTCAGCGCCCATCCCGGCATACACGCAGCACCTGGCGGGCACGAGGCTCGGCTGGGGTGGCGCTTTGCAAGTCGGCAGGCCGTGAAATGGGTTGAGCCGCCTCCAGGCACGGCGCCGAGGGCTGTGGGGCAGCTGCGTCCCCAGGGGAGCAGGTTTGGGCTGGGGCCCGCTGGCTCCTTACGGCTGCAGCAGCTCCAGGCAGGATGCTGCTTTCAGTGAGCAGCTGGTGGAGGGTTTGGTGCTCGGCCATGCTTCCAGCATACCCTGAATCCATCTGGGTCCTGCACCGCAGTGCCTTGTCCCACCGCAGGGGTGGCAGGTCTGCTTGGTCCCACTGACACCAAGAGCCCCGGTTGCTTTGGCATGTGCCCATTGCATGTTTTCTGTGCTCAAGCCCTTTATGCTTGTGGGTCGGTGCCTGTTCATGTGTGTCCCCATCACCTTGGTGACGCTGTCAAGGAGGTCATTTTACCAGCGGTGGAGATTTGACGCTGGGCTTAGCCGAACCAGGAGGGTCTGCCCCAACAGAGCGGATGCCTTGAGGCTGCTCAGGTTTTTTTTCCTTCTTGGAGGCCAAAAAAATAAAATCAATCTGGGCACTTTCCCAGCTCATGGCCACCGTGGCTCTGCCTGTGACCGTGCCACAGCCACATCACCACCAAGCTGAGCTGAAAACCCCCCAGGTGACACCAGGTTGTCTTTAGATGCAACTGCTGGGTTAATGACCTTTTGTAATTGCCGCACCTAATTGCAGAGTCCCGCACAGGGAGCAGTGAGAGCATTTGAGCTCCAAGTGGGCCAAATCCCCGAGCAATGAGTGACGCCACTGTGCAGGCAATGGGCTGCTGCTCCCTGGGGGTTACGGGGTCCCCAGGGTGCAGGGGGACTATGTTGGAGCAGCCTGGAGAAGTGGCCCCTGCTTTTCCCCAGAGCACAGAGGGTTTGGGAGAGGGCAGCAGCAGGGGTGGCGAGGGCTCTCACCTGGCGTCTTCCCTCCAGCTGTAACCTGACTTGCCCACCTGGCCGCTATGGAGCCAACTGTGCCGAAGCCTGCAGCTGCCATGACGGCGCCTGTGACCCGCTGACGGGTGCCTGCCACATGGGTGAGTACTGTCGGGCACGGGTCAGGGCACCGGGCTCCGCTGTGGGGCCATCACCGGGGCTGAGCCGGACGGTTTTGTCTTGCAGAGGCCAACCAGCGGATGGGAGTGATCGGGGCAGGAGCCCTCCTGGCACTGCTGCTCATCCTCCTGCTCTCCCTGCTCTGCTGCTGCTGCGTCTGCCGCAAGAAGGACGAAGCCCATGGGTGAGTGCTGGGGCTGGGCAGGCTCTTGCTGCACTCTGCGTCGAAGCCTGAGCAGTGCGGGGAGCTGCAGGTCTGGGCACAGCTGGGGACGTCAGTGCCTGGTGTGGGGCTGGGACTGGTGGGAGGATGCAGGGACCTCACTGGGACAGCAGCGCTGTGGGGAAACTGAGGCAGAGCAGTGCTGCACACCCAGCACCATGCACCCTTTGAGTCCCCAGGGTCTGAGCAAGTCCCGCTGCATCCTCAGGGCAGCACCCAGCTGGGAGGCTGATGGAGGGGCTTGGGGTGAGCCCTGCCTGGGGACCCCCTTCCCGCTCTCCCTGATTTGTTTCCCTCTCATGGGCCATCGATGCATGGAAACCCACCAGGTCCCCTCCAGTCTCTGGGGGGCTGGAGCTGATCTGCAAAGGGAACCCTAAAATACATCAAGACGTGACCGAGACCCCCAGAACAAACCCCTGGGCCACAGGGTGAGACCTGGTGGGGTGATGGGCTGTGGCACTGCCAGCTGTCCTGCACAGGGACGTTTGGGGCAGGGAGGGTGAGTTCCTGCAGCAAGGTCAGGATGCCAGCAGCATTTCAGCAGCACTGGGTGACATCCTGCCACAGGGATGGGGATGGGGACAGCCCCATTGCAGGGAGGGAAGTCTTGTGCTGCTCAGCAAAGGATGAGTGGGCCATGGGAGCTCCTCCGGCTGCGGAGAAAGCTCCCCCTCGTGCCGCCAGCCACTGCACGGGAATTTTCCGGAAGCCTCCCCTTGCAGCCCTGCCAGCTCAATCCCAGCCCGGCACATCTGGCCTGGGGAGCCTGGGGGCTGCATGTAATTATCCTGCAGATAAAAGCACAAATGCAGCCCCGCGTGGTGAAATATTGCACAGGGAGAGGGCAAATGGCTCAAAATAGATTCCTCTCTCTCGGGGTGCCTGGACCCCTGCGATGTCTCCAAACAGCTGGGTCCCTTGCCAGCGCATCCCAAGGGACCGCAGCAGCAGCGGGCACGTTGCAGGTTGCCTTGCATCAACATGCGAAACCGCTCACTCCTGCGGCTGCAGATAATTGCTTGAAACCTCGGCTTCAGGAGGCTTCAAAACCAGAGAGCAAATAAAGAGAAGCCATGTGTTTGTTTTTGGGTTGGGATGATTTTTATTTTTTTTTAAAGATTCAGAGTCTTGACCTGGTGTTGCGGGTGTTTTAGGGCCGGGCTGCCGATGGCCACAACTGAATCCAGCTCTGCTATCGTCCCCCGGTTCTGCATCCCGGTGCAATGTGCAAGCTGGTTCCTGGGGCTGGCAGCAGCCCCGGGAGGTCCCTGCCCCCCTGTGCCCTGGGCACCCTCCTGCCCTGAGCCACCCCAGGCTCTTCCCCAAAACCCCTTTGCATTTGCAGCATCCCTGAGCTCCTGATTTGCTGTCACACCCTGTGAAAGCTGTCTCCGCCACGGAGCGGGTGCCAGTGCCTCTGATGGGGCCGTTGCCTTCTCTTGCAGCTCCAGCCAGGACCCAGCAGCAGCCAAGAAGCCACCGAGACGCTTGTGCGGGCGTTTCAGTCGGATTGGCATGAAGCTCCCGCGCATCCCCCTGCGCCGCCAGAAGTTACCCAAGGTCGTAGGTAAGGTGCTGGGGTTTGGGGAGGGGGCAGAGAGTCAAACCCCGGGGGCTTTACTCCTAGCACCGCAGCACACGTGACTCACAGCATCCTTTCCAGCCCCAAACTCAGGGCAGTGAGCACGGTGCAGCAGTCACAGGGACACACAGGTCCCTGGGACTGTTGCAATGCTTGGTGTGAGCTGCCTGGCTCACAGGAGCTCAGCCCTTTCTCAGTCTGCAGCTTCTAAAGTGCATCCTTTTGCCTCACGGGGGCAGGTACCTGGTGCCTGGAGCTCCCCTGAGCTGTTTTGTGAGGTTTTTGCATTCCCCAGGTGGAGGAACAGTCCCTGTTGCAGCTGCGAAATGCCTTGTTTGTCCTTTTGGTCCTGACCTCACCCTGCTCCAGCTTTGCATGGGGCCAGAGCATCCAAACTGGGGCTCGAGCCCACCCCTCTGCTGTGCACAGCAGAGTTGAGGATGGAGGGGCAGAGATTTTGGGTGAGCTCCCTGTGCTGCCCAGGCATGAAGCGGGGTCATAGAGGGGCTGCTCACACCCAGCAGAGCTCCTGATCCGAGGGTGTTGGGGCTGTTGGGGACCCCCCACATCCAGGCAGCTGGGGAACACTGTACCCCGCACACTCTGAAACTTCCCTGTGCTCAACCCAGCGTGAGGATGGGGATGTGCTGCCTCAGAGAGGACCCTGTTGAATAAACCAGGGGGTGAAGGCAGCACTCCCCAGCATGCCAGCATGGGACTCAGCCCCATGTCCCCCCAAGCTCAGCACCTCCCCAGGTGTGCAGTGCTGGCAGGATGCCCCGAGCAGCCGCATCCTGGCATGCAGCAGCTCGGCGTGAGGCTAAATCTCCCATCCCAGACGGGGGGGTGACAGAGGTGGCCCCCATCCCAGCACGCTGTGCCCAAGCTCCAGCATCAAAGCAGGGGGAACGACTCCTCACCGTGTGAGGCACGGCAAAGCCCTGCCCCGCAGCAGGGTGCGCCAGGGCCGAAGAAACATTCCTGCTGCAAGGATAACAGAGGATAACAGAGACCGTGTTTGTGGAAAGGGCTGGGCAGGGCTCGGGGAGGACAGAGGGTGCCTGTGTGCAGCAAGGGCAGGGGGGCTCAAGCTTGCCTGCGCCTTCCCTGCACCGGCCCAGAGGCAGCTGGCGCCCACCCAGCTGCTCTGTGTAAACAGGGCAGCAGCTGCCCTGGGAAAGGCTGAGGATGCAGTGCTGGTGCCGGAGGGATGCTCGGGATGGTCTCGGGTCCCAGGCGGACTGGGGCTATTCCCGGAGCCTGTTCACACGGTTACGGGTTGTTATTTCATTGCAGGGAAAGGCTTTGGTCAGGGGTTGTCTTGTGTTCATCGTGTTATCCTACACGGCACAGCAGAGCTTGTGTGGTCTTCAGCCGCTCCTGGTCCCTCTGGTGCAGGGTCCAGTGATGCCTTCAGCCCCCGCTGGGTCTGGGGATGCCCTGGGCAAGGGAGACCTGCCAGGGTGCCCACAGCAGCTGCATCCCTGTGATGCCTAGTGACCACGGTGCCACATCAGCACGTGGCTCCACCTGGAAGCCGCGATGGCCAGTACACGGTGGCAGAGGCCACCTGTTCCCCACATTGGTCCTGCCCTGGTGGGGGGGTCCAGGGGATGCTGAAATGCCCCATCCCAAGTGCCAGGTCAGCGCTGGAGGTGCTCAGGACCCTGGGGGATGTCACGGTGAAGCCATTGCTGACTGAGGCCGAGGACACCTGGTAGATGGTCACTCCAGGTCTGCTCATATTCTTGCACAGCTGCCGCCACGGCCATGCATTTGCTAGCGCCGGGCAGATTTTCCCCTCTGAGCTCAAACCTGACCATGGTCGCCACCAGTGAGCACAAGCCCATGCATGGTAGAACCTCCCCAGGTGGGGCAGCAGGTTGTGAAGCCCCACCGAAGCTCATCGGGTGGCTGGAGCCCCAGGTGCACCCCTCAAAAGCTGCTTCCCACGTCAGCACCAGCTTTGGATCTGCAGCATCTCCTTGGGGGTTGCCCCTGAGGTGCCAGCCTGCACAGCCACATCCTGGGCTGACACCAGTGGCCATGGTGGCAGGGTTTGGGCATCCCTCAAGTTTCACAGGGTTTGCTCACCTGGGACGGTCAGTGGTACCAGCATGGGTCTCAGTTGTGTGTCCCTCCACGGATGCCAGGGCTAACCCACGCTCTGCACCACTCCAGCACCCCACCGCCGCATCTCCTTTGAGCGGCAAAGCTCAACCAGCCCCGACAGTGATGTCAACTGTGGGGAGCTTGGGATGAGTGGGAGAGGGCAGCCAGGAGCGCTCCAGGGCCACCTTCCCACAGCCCTTCTGTGGCTCCTCACCGCTTTGTCCTGGTCTTGACACCAATCGGCCACTGTGCAAGCAGGGCTGGGGTCAGCACCCTGATGCTGTGACCCTGGGAAGTTTTGGGGAGAAGCAGCAGGAGGGAACCCAAGGGAAATGGGCGCATTTCTCCCAGTCTCATCAGCCCGTGATATATTGGCCAGGGGGGGATAAATCCCAGGGGACCATGCAGGAGCACCTACACCTGGCTCCGGGTGCACTGCACATCCTCTTTTTATCCTTTGGCCATATCCTGGGTCTCATTCGAGTCCCAGAGACAGGTCGTGGCTGTGAGTCCCAGCCGCTCGTCACACCCACTCTCAGGAAGCATCTCCCTTCATCTGCTTCCAGCCGGCTGCTTTTAATTTTCCCTTTTTGGTTTTTATTACAAGGAAAGCCATGTTGAAACTGCTGCTTCCCCCTCTCCAGGCCGTTTGCTCTTTAAATATCGCTGCTTTTTTTTTTTTTTTTTCCTTTCTTCAAGAAGCCAAACCTTGCAGGGGCGAGCATGCATCGCTGCCATCATTTTAATTACCCTGTATCTCTGAAGCCAGATTCCCTAATAAAGAATAAATGTTTGCGTGGGCATCCCAATAACACTTAGAGTTATTTTATTGTAAAACAGGGATATGGTGCAAGAATCAAACAGTCCGAGCAGGAAAGTGCAGCATGACTTAGATGGTTGGGATGTGTGGGCAAAGGTTACAAATACCTGAAAATGTTGATGTACAGCTGCTGCACTGGGGGAACCTGCCCTGCACGCTGGGATTTTGCAGCCCTTGCTGCAAAGGAGGGCTCTGCCTGGGCTGCAGCCCTTGCCACCACCTTGGGGGACAAAAGCCAGCAGGCAGGGGATGGGGACAAGAGCATCTGATGCTGCCCAGCTCTCTGGGAGGGTTGGTCCTGCGAGTACCCCGAGGATGATGCCAAAGCTGCAGGCACCCAGGAAAGCACCATGGGATGGGTTGGGACACGGACTTATCCATCAAAAAACCTTAAAAATGATCAAACAGAAAAACCAGTCCCTCCCAGCCCAGACAACTGTCACTGCTCAGCCTTTTTTTTTTTTTTTACCATTGAAACTGAAAATATTTTTAACACAAAGTTTTTCCTCTCTGGTGGTTTTTCTCTTCTGCATGGCTTCTCTGTGGGCGGCCCCTGTGGCAGAGGGGGCAGTACCGGGGTGAGGGGCAGATGCTCCTCCTCAGCTTCAGGATGGGAGAAGCTGGCAAAGGGACTGAAAAGCGGAAGAACTGGGAAAAAAGGGTGCTGCGCATTCCCCTGCCACAGGCACCTTTTTACCATCCTTCTACCTCCTTTTGCAGAAGCAGAAGGAAAAGGCAAATGCAAACGGTGATGCTGAAGTGGAAATGAGTGCAATTAAAGCTGGCAGCTCATTTCTTTCCCCAGGAAGGGGACGGTTGCAGCACCGGGACTTTCTTTATGGGGTGGCCATGCTGTGTTGTGCAGCTCATGGGTGACCACTGGGATGCTTGCCGGGTCCTCATGGGACCCAGGGGTTTGGGTGGCTTATGTGCCACCTCTGCCATGTGCATCCTTGATTTGGGCAGCTGGAGACCTGCAGTGGAAGGAGGGGATAGATGGGAGGTGTAAGGCTTGCACAGGCTCTGCTGTCCACAGCCACTTGTCCCCAAGCGTGGGGGATGCTGGTCACCACTGTTGCTGGTTGATGGCCTCTGCATGCGGGCACTTGGCTGGGGGACCTGGTAGGCATGTGTGGTGAGAGCTGTCCCCATGCCTGGGATGCTGTCACTGTCCCCAGGAGCCGCCAGCAAGTTGGGCAGGGAGGAGCTGTGCAGCATCCCACCCTCCTGGCTGGCATGGTGGCCAGGGGCATCCAGCAGGACAGGCACTGACAGACGTTCCTTGCCCTCACAGTGGCCCACCACGACCTGGAGAACACCCTGAACTGCAGCTTCATCGAGCCGCCATCTGTGGTGGAGCAGCCTTCCCCATCCTGGTCATCCCGTGGCTCCTTCTCCTCCTTCGACACCACAGATGAGGGGCCGGTGTACTGCGTCCCCCACGAAGGTGAGCAGGGGGACGGGGTGCTTCCCCAGGGGACTTTGGGGCCATCACCAGGGGCCACCTCCTGCTCAGTAGAGAGGTGTCACCTTTGCATGGTGGGGACCGTGTCACCCTGGCTCCTTGTGCCGGGAAGGGATGCAGGTGCTAATGTTGCCTCCGACGTGGTTTCAGAGCTCCATCCTCTGGCATTTGCTGCTCTGGGGTTGTTTTAAGAGCATTCTTGTGCTGGGGTCCCTGACTTGGAGGAGGGGACAGGGGGACCTGGGGACACATCAGGGTGCGGGGGGGAACCAGGTGTGATGGCATCCCACTGTGCTGCAGGAGCATCTCGGTCCTTCCCCTCTCTGGACACATCCCTGCCTGACACCCCTGTGCTCTCCTTCCACAGAGAGTGTAGGTGACAGCAGGGACAGGGGGACACCCGCCAGCCCTGGGGACAAGCTGGTGGCCCCGGCCAGTGGGGAGGAAGCAGGTGAATACACCTTCCTGAAGGAGACGGGCTCCGTCAGAGCCTTCCCGGCTGACAGCAGCGAAACGCCCCTGCTCAAGTCCTCAGACAGCGAGCGCTCCTCCTGCGGCTCGGGCTCGGCCGGTGCCGCGCTCTACGCCCGGGTCGCCCGTCTTTCCAAGCAGTCCAAGGAGGAAGACGATGCTGTCACAGAGCCCCGCAACCCTGGGAAGCCGCCATCGCCAGAGAGGACCAAGCCCCGTCCCCCAGACCCAGCCACGAAGCCCAAAGTCTCCTGGATCCATGGCAGGTACAACTCCAGCCAGTCCAACTCGCTGCCAGCACCCAGCCGGTCCCCAGAGCGAGCGGCTGCCCAGTCTGGCAGCCCTGAGCAAGGCCAGGGCTTGGCCAAGAGGAAGAGGAGCCCAAGTGAGACGTCGGCCAGTGTGCAAACCAGAGCAGAGGAGAAGGGCGGCATGCGGGGCAAGGAGAAAGCTCAGAAGCAACCGAAGGAGCCTGGTGTCCCCGAGGGCAAAGCCAGCCTCACTGGGGAGCCCCAGTCACCCTCGAAGCCCAAGCAGAGGAGCAAAGCCAGCTCGGAGCCAACAGAGAGCATCAACGGGGCGGTGCAGAATGCCTTCCGAAAGATGGGCGCCTTCCAGCCGGAGCGGCGGGCCGGGGAAAACAGGGATGCTCCCCGCAGCCCTGGTGCCAGCAAATCCCGCTCTGAGCCCCTCCATCCCCACCTGGCCTCCGAGCTGGCTGCCCAGCTGAAGGAAAAGACTCAGAGCCTCAACAAGGGGGACGGAGGCATCCGGGCAAATGGGGTGGGCACCCAGCGGGAGAAGCCCACCCCTCCACAGAAAGCCAAGCGCTCGGTGGCCGCCGGCAGCCAGAAGACCAGCAAGCCCTTGCTGCCCACCTCTCCCCATCTGCAGAAACTGATCCCCGGGGCGGCTGAGCCCGCAGCCGGGGAGCCCAAGGGGGGGGAAAAAGCCAAGCACCGGCAGCAGCCAGGACCAGGCTCTCCCCAACGAGCAAGTGGCCAAGAAAACCCCCATTAAAAAGCCTCCCAGGAAGAAGAGCCGAGAAGCCAGCCTGGAGCAGCCCAGAGCAGCCACTGTGCCTGCTCAGGCAGTGCAGTGACCAGGAGCTGGGCACTGGCCCCGCACCGGCCAGCTGCACGCTGGGAGGAAGGACGTTTGCCAGCATGGCCAGTGGTCGGGGAAGCCTGGACTGGGCAGGGGGCATTGGAAGTGCCTTGAGCCTCCATTTTCCCCCCCCTCCATCTCTCTCATCCCCCTTTTTCCTTTAGTGTCCCCTGCCCCAGGACCTGGTCCTCCCCATCCATGCCCTGCTGCCTGCTCCCTGCCCAGGTCTGGCATCTTGCCTTCCCCACGCAGGGCAGAACCGCAGGGAGCCGGCCCGGCCACCAACCTGGGGGGGTCCGTGCGTGGCATATCCCCCCCCACTTTTTTGTAGCAGTATTATCAATCGCATAAGCAGCGCTTGTTGTACTAGACGTACCCACGGTATATTCTGCAGTAATGGAGCCGCTCGCTTCCCGCGCCCCACTCTGGTCTGTTGGGCTCACGGTGCACGGGAGAGGGAGGGTGCTGCTGCTTGGCACCTAGGGCATTGCCGGAGATGTTCCCGCATCCAACACCGGCGGCAAACCCCTGCCCCAGCACCCTGGGCTCCAGGCACAGCTCTCCATTGCCAGTTGCACCACAGCCGTGCCATGCCCGGTGTGGGGTCGAGCTGGTTTCGACCGATGCCTCCCTCCCATCCGCCCCTGGGGTTGCTTCTGGCCAAGAGGAAAGCACTGTTTATGGCCAGAGCTGGATGCCCTTCAGGCTCCCGCATTCCATCTAGTGGAGTTGGAGGGATTAGTTTGGTACGACAGAGCCTGGCACCTCTGCAGAGTGCTTTCCTAATAAAAATGTATTCTGTAGCCGGGTGCCGTCTCTCTGTGCCCCACACTCCCCACAGGCAGGTGACGTGCTGGGCTTCACCTGGTCTAGCTTGGATGCTCAGCCTGGTCCTGAGTGGGATACAGTGGGGGGATGGGTGACCTTGCAGCAAGTACAGGCAGGTGGTCACAGGCAGGTAGGCAGGGTGGGGAGGCAGGTCCCCACTGAGGCTGCTGCTACGTGCTCGCCTGGCAGCAGAGACCAGCCCTAGGGGCAAGATTAGGAGCCCCTCATCCCCCCCCCCAGTATCCAGCATCCTCCCCAGTCCAGCAAGAGCCTTGGGAGGGGGGGACTGGGCTTGTGATCAGACCCTCTCCCATGTAGCCAGGATTGGACCCTGGGGCTCAAGAGAGCTCTGGCCACCAGGCAAAGAGAGTCCACCCCCAGCTGGGTGCTCGGGGTGCTGGGACACAAATGTGGGCGGACACGGGGGGCTGGCAGTGGCATGCAGGGCTCTGACCCCCACCTTTCTAACCCCCTCTTCCAGGGGGCAACCAACCCTGGCAGCGTTTGGGCTCTCCACGCAGCCCCAGGCACCGTGCTGCCATGTGGCAAGGCTGGGACAAGCCCAGGGACCAGCTGAGATGTGCTTTCTCCCACACAGCTTTTGCCCAAGATTCCTGAGCAGTCCTGCCTGCAATTTGCCTGCACCCTGCCTGCACACTACCTGCATGCTTCTGTCACTTTGCCTGTGCACTGCCTGCATGCTACCTAATCTCTGCATGCATTTTGCAAGCTCCCTGCCTGCTACCTATGCTCTGCCTGCTCTCTGCCTGTGCTTTGCTCACACTCTGCCTGCACGCTACCCGCACGCTGCCTGTGCTTTGTGTCACTGCCTGGGTCTGCGGCGGGCAGGCAGCGGTGGTCTGCAGCCTCCCCCAGGAGACCGAGGGCAGCAAAGCACTGCCTGCCCTGCCACTGCTGGCCCTTGCCCAGGGCACACTGCCTGTAGAGCTATAAATGCAGCTGGTGAAGGCAGAGGGGCTCTGGGTCCTTTGGGGCAGTGGCTCTGTTCCTGCCAGGCTCCTTCAGCCTCAGTCAGAGCCTTCGCCAGCCCGTGGGGCTGCAGCACCCACTGCTCTGCCTGGCTGTCCCTGGAGGAGCCAGAGCCATGGGCTGGAGGGGACCCTCCCTGCCATGAGAAATGAAAACGGGACTCTGCTGCCATGGAAGCCAGGAGCACTGGTGCCCGCTGTTGAGCCATCCTGATTTCTGTGCACGGTAAGGGATGATGGCCCAGGAGAAGACCACCAGACCAAAAGGCCAACTGTGGGGCAATCTTGGAGGTGATGGAGGCAGCTGGTGGACACCAGAATGGGATAAAAACACCTGGAACCAGGACTGCAGCCAGCCTAGCAATGCACTTGAGAGAGGACAGGGCTCCGACACACTCCCTGGCATCGCTCAGCATCACAGAGCTGGAGACAGCGCAGTATCTGTGACACTGGCTGGGGAAGCATCATCTCATAGCAAAAAGCTGAAGAATAAAGGGGTGGGACATCACGCGACTCATTGGCGTTGCCACCTTTCAGAGTTCCTTCACTCTCCCTCCCCTTTCCTTCAGGTTTTACTTGGGAAGATGAAAGATGACAGCTGAAACTACTGGACCATCACACAGCAGAGTAATGGGAAGTGATGAATCAGCTCAATGTCACCAAAGCTGAAACAGACAAAATCAATAGAAAAGTGGGCTTACTGAGTCTATGAGACCTGTGATGGTACTGAAGTCCCTATCCCTCCACCACAGAGGCCGTTGGAGAAACAGAAGAGGCTTCCAGGAGGCTCAGAAAGGTCTGGGAGAAGGAAAGGCGTTGAATCCAGGCAATAAAAGTGCAAAAATAAATAAAATTAAAGAGGAAAGAGGTTGTCACAGACATCATGCTGTCCTGTACAAACCTCTTCACATCAGCACTAAAGAGCATCTGGGAGGAACCAGCCACGATGCTCATGATGGCGACCCAGCAAGGTGAATTTGGGAATAGCCCAAGCCTCCTCTCAGGCACTTTCTCACTTGTGCAGGCAGCAAAGCTGGGGCTGGTGCCCCAGGAAGGTTGGGTACTGTAAGCTTGCCCCAGTCCCCCCAGGCTATCCTGGGACAGCAGAGCTTCACCCAGGCATGAGCCCATCCACGGGCTCCGACCATAGCCCCACCAAGCCAGAAGAGAGCCTGCAAGTGAGCAGCCTACAGGTAAATGTAAAAATCCCACATCACAGATGCTGACATGCATCCTGGCAGGTCACTGGAGGCTCCAGCCCAACCAGGGCAGCAATGCACCACGTGGACATGTGTTGTCCCCCATCGTATTGTCTGGCACCACCAAGAAAGATTTGACTCCATCATCTTAGCTGATGGTTGTTCTCAGACCCCCTTCACCTCCTCGTGGCCAGGCTAACCCAGCCCAGCCCCTTCCACCTCTCCTGGCACAATGTGTGCCAGCTACGTGACCATGTTGATAGCCCACCTCCAGGCCTCTCCAGTTTCTTCACATCTGTCTTGAACTGGGAGGCTGATGTCTGAACCCTGCTGGGTGGAGAGGCAGCAGCTTCCTTCAGGTGGCTGCCCATGCCCTTCCCAATGTCCCCCACTATGGACTTTGCCTGACTCTGGAGAAGAGCAACAACAAGCTGATGTTTAACCTGAGGTCCACCATAGCCTTCAGGTTATTTTCAGCAGGGTCCTTCCAGCTCAGATGGGTCAGATGTTTCTCCAAGAAATGTCCTGTGATGCCACCGGCCATGAAGGACATCACCATTGCAATGGATGAGGCATTGCCTCATGAAGACATCATGAAGGGCTGATTTTTTCACATACTGTGACCATGAATGTCCTTTCCAAGCATCCTACCAGGGCCTGCAGGCTTTCCTCCTACCACTGCACTTTGGTTATCTCTGACTGACAGCACCCTGCAATAGACACCTGTGAGGGGACTTTGTTTAGGGTCCACAAATCAGCAGAGGCTGAAAACCATAAAAAAATTTCCCCTGCAGCTGTGAGTCCCACCAGAAAGATCATACACAGCATAAATACACTTGCTTTTCTTAGCTGCTCTCCACTGCTCTCTTGGACATGCAGAAACCTTTCACCTCAAGGAAAAACCAGCTGAATTCAATCACAGGAGGAAATCATAATGTAGAGAAAAACTAGTCTTCTGCTCACCAAGGATGGAGCAGAAGCCACTTTCTCCTGAAGCCACCTTCAGGAGCCACCTTCCCTGACAGACAGGTCAGGGGTTTTTGGTGACAATGTGATGGCTTGACTAAGCACGTTGCATGGACTCCCATGGCTGAGGAGAAGCAGTGGATGAGGCTGGCAGGAGATGCTGTGATGGAGCAGGACCTGCCCAGTGGCCACCAGCCCTCGTCTCCACCAGGACCTCGGCCAGGGGAAGCAGAGGAGCGTGGTGGCACTTGTGGCCTGTCCTCTCCTCCACCAACACTGTAACATGGGTCTTCACATTTCGTCCGAGTTTCCCAAACTGAAGAAGGAGCAATTGGGTTGGACAACGGCGCATTTGTTTTGGCTTGGCCAGCGAGCAGTGATAAAAGCGAGCCCGTTGCCAGCAATTCATTTCCTGTTTCAGGCCCTACCAAAAATAAACTCGGAAGGGAACTCCAATGAGAACGAAACACGTGTGAGACAACAGGCACCCAAAATTATATAGGCAATTCCTCTCTCAGTGCTTGTTGGGAGAGGGGACAGCAGTGCCAGGGGTATTTCATGCTGGAGGGGAGATTGTGAGGGGCTTGGGGAGCTCCATCAGCTCCACCAGTGCTACAGCACAAGCCAGGGTAAACTGATAGGGGTATAAATATACATTCAGCCTACACTGCATGTAGTGGCTTTGCGTGGGTGCGTGCTACACATGGAGAAATTCTTCCTTTACCCCCAAAAGTGGATGTAATGGTCCCTGGTTGCCTTCCCCAGGACACTCAGCTGCAGGGACGGCCAGGCTGGGGGCACTGGAATGTCCCCTGGACACGTCAGTGACATCCTCACACAGCCAGCATCTAGCTGGCACGGGGCTCCCCACAGCCGGGCTGAGCAGACTGCCCTGCAGACTGGGACCCCAAAGAGGAGCAGCCACTGCAACGCCACCAAAATCATTTCACATGCCTCACTGCAGCCATCGGTGACCTCATCAACGTCCCCAGAGGACTCCATTAGCATTTGAG